TGACAGCTTGGTTCCATCTTTCACTCGCCAGGGGGCACGCGGAACCGGTAGTAGCACAAAATGGCGTCTGTTCGGCAGTTAGACAGATAAATCTCTGTCGGAGAGGAAAGCAGCAGGGATCTACCAGGCATACCTGTACGTACTATCTGTACACTTGCCTTGTATACTCCTCAATGGAGTACGGGAACACTCCTAAAATTCGGACACCACAACAAAAACATGTAATACAAGTTTGGTCACTCACGTTTAGCACGCCTGTGTCTCAATGAGGAATGCTCAGGATATTTTCCTCATAGGAAATATCTTATTTGACTGAGTGGCCGTAGAGGATACGACCAAACTCCTCAACACCGCCAATACCTGAAATGGTAAAGATGACATTTGTCTGTGAATTCAGATGCAAAAGACAGATGTGGGGATGAAGGATGAAGTTATGAAGTTATCTTTATGCCTAAACGCCAAACCATGATAAAGTTAAGTATAGTGCTGTGGAAGTAAAACGCTCTGCAGTCTACGGCGGTAGAGGGAGGTCAGTGGCCAGCTTTACGTGCCGGCCGTATTGACCCGAGAAACAGCTCGCGGCACCCATTAGAGGTAAGTTCCGGCTTTTTTATTCCTTTGAAAATGGCCCGTGTAGACCATCAACTTGCATGTACGTACAGGGGAATAAAATAGCTTTGGAACTTCAGAATATGTGAAGCTTTTCCTCCATGCCTCCTCACCTCACACAAGATAAAAATAGGAAGTTGCCGACGAAAAGAAAAGCGTACTGAATGTATTGATTTTTGGTGAGACGGATATTGCAAGTGAGTTGAATAAACATATCTTATTCTTACAATCTCGGTGCGTAAATGAATCGAGTCACAATCTGTAGACTTGGCGCTTCAAATTTGTTTCTGCTTCGCGTTGTCTAAGCTGAAAAGTGTTTTGTCATATTTCCCGACGTTCAGACAATCTGTAGATACCTACAGCACGGAGAAAAATGTTTTAAATTCCACCAATCCTTACAGGGACAGCCATTAGCTGTACTATAAAAATTTCCGCTCCATATGTATCTTGAACGGAGTATATTACTATTATTACCAGCATTGGTATAAGCCTCCTGCAAAAAAATCACTTCTCACAAGTGTATAACTTTTGAACCACACTCACAGCATGCCAGAGCCTGACCTTGAGCTACAGTATGACCAGGCGTTAGCAGTGCTACCAATCACACAACGAAAATATTCGAATGTTGTGGACTGTTTCTTAATCTCCTTTAGGCCTATAGCTACTCTACCCCGTACTTAAAATAAATGAGAGTGGAAAGAGGAAAACGGTGGTATTCATATTTCGTCCAACGAAAAGGAAACGGCTGTGTAATGTTTGGAAAATAACTCATTGTAACTTAAGAAGGAAAGCAGGCACAAGTGATCTTTGCCAAAAGTGTAATTATCAGACGTCTATTTTATACACTGTCGCTGATCAACTGGGGCCAAGTCTACAGCCGTTAACACCTTTTACTTTCCTCGAAGCAAAAGGTGGTGGAAGAGGCGGAAACTAACCATTACGATAATGACGGATCACGGAGAAATTTATGGTAGAGAAAACGTGCTCATTGTAGCATCGTTTTAGTTACATTCAGAATATTGCTAAATATCTTTCATTTGAACCATCTTAATAACTTTTTTTAACACCAATATTATCCTCTTACATCTTTTGTTTTTGTACACAGAACTGTCAGTAAAATATAATTACAACCTTTGAAAGATAGTTTATGGCGACAGCTAATTTAACAACGTGACGGAATCAGGGAGGGTAGCTGAAAGAAATGAAACACGAAGTTGTCCCCGATTTCTGTGTTTCTTTCTTTGAGAAATATCGACAGATCATAAACACGGGCATAAAATTAAGGTGTAAAAATCGTGAAAATTCCTTAAGTTTTGCAATGTTTCGAAATCCTCTGTTCTTGTTTACTCACTCTGTTAAGTAACAATTCAATGTTGGATTTTAAATTTAATATATAGTTAGTTATGTTAAGGTAATGGTAGAAAGGTGAAGCCTCAATTTGTGAGTTTCAAATTCAGAAGTCCAAATTTACCTCGGAATTTAAAATAAAGTGGTTGGATGAAACATGTCTGCTAACATAACCTCTCGCAGAATTCCAGTTTTACTCTTTTGAAACTCAATTAGAAATATCTAATACCGATTTTTTTCTGATTCTTAATTCATAATTATACTTTTTTCAAAGAACCTGTTCTGGTAATTTAATTAATTGTATAATGGCATAGAGGCGATTGGATTTTGCTGACTCGGTGGAGGGTTTTATTTAATTCTGTGATGAACCTTCAGATTCCCTAAGCCATCTAGTTAGTTAGTTAGTTATGATTCTTCGTATAACTTAATATCTTAAAGGCATTTCACAGCGTCCCAGAGCAGCCCCCCTCCCCCTCAAACGCAGATCCCGGGCCTCTTTTCAGGAGTGTGAGAAATTTAGTCTCAAATTTCTTAATCTAGAATTGCTATAAGGTTGCGAGAAATGCCACTTCATCAATTGCCTAATGTAATACGATAGAAACATCATACATGAATGTTGATTACCATTGAGTGTGCGACGCCTATGTAAAAGTTGTCTTGGAATTATCCTACAGAAACTGAGGATAGGCATAAACAATTCTGGCGAGTTTCGTCTGTTATTACCTCCAGTGTAACTTCTGCGTGACTACGGCGTGATGTAAGCGCGTCGTCGATATCACGTGGGCGTGACTTTGGCCATGACGTAGACGTCGCTTAGGAGTGATGTAGCTGTGACGCAGCCGTGATTTTGACGTGAGCGTGATGAAAAAGTGATGGCGTGATCTAGACGTGACGTTTACGTAAGGGAGACTTATGGGTGACGTAGGGATGATGTAGTCGTGACGTAGATATTACAAAGACGAGGCGTAAATTAACGCAACCAGATTAAACCTAACCTAACCCAGCCAGACATAACCTAACCTAACGAGAGCTAACCTACACCTACCTAACCCAATCTAACTTCATGTAACGTAACCTAAACCCAACCCAACCTAACAGTTTTACCATCGATACTGTTTGAACAAAGAATCTAGGGGGGCTCTAAGAGCCATTCTGGATGTGTGCAGTCACTGTACTCACTGGAGTATACAATAGAGTTGGCATGTTTCATATCCGAAGGAAACTAATAAGCACACTACCGCTACAGTCCGAGGGGTGTTCAAAGATTGTGTAGAATGTCATTGCTTCTCGGTGTCTTCATTGGCTGCGAACCCGTGCTAAAATACCATGTCCTGCAGGGATGGGACATATGTGGAAGTGTATAGGGTCAGTACCTCAAGAGAAAAACTGTTTAATATGAAACAAGTAACACGATTTATTGACACGCTGTGATTAAAATTGCGGATCAAGTTTCAACCATAATCTCTTATAATTTTGTAATTTTTACTGGGGTGTCATTTGTCCAGGAATCTGCTGAGGCATTTCACTTATAAATAATATAACTTCACAACAGTCTTCGTATTGAGTGATGTTTCCAAACCCAAGACCCTCCCTCACCCCCCCCCCCCCGGAAAAAATTTTGCCCTGCGAGAAATTTTGCCCACACACATAACAGTTAATAAGAATTGAGTGATATTTGAGGTTCTTACAGCTGTGAATATGTCGATTGTGGTATCCACCCTAGAAATGTAGGCGATTCGTTCCTCTGAAACTACCTACAAGTCTACACGGCTTCATGGCCGTGAAGAACACAATCAGCACAATTTATATTAATTTCTGAAACACCTTTACCTGAGTTTCTCGACGTTATAATCCTGCTAGTGGCAAAAGAAATAACAACTCCTGACTGGATTTCGGTTTCTGGTGTCGTGCCAAATTATCTTGTGTGTGTAATTTGTAGATTCCCGTCACTGACATGGACCGTCATTCCTGGAACAAATAATTCCAAAACTAGTAAAAGCTCCAGAAATAATGTAACCCAACCAGTAGCTGCAAATATAAAGCAATAACTATAATCAACTTAGAAATATGAGAAGAAAATAACGATTAGATTCTGAACTCCTGTTAAAATAGAGTTTAATTTTTATAACAACTAGAGCAGGGCGCTCCTTTCGGAGCTCCTAGGGGGGGGGGGTGGGCAAGGTTGT